TCCCAGCACTTTGGGAGGCTGAGGCGGGCGGATCACGAGGTCAGCAGATCGAGACCATCCTGGCTAACACGGTGAAACCCCGTCTCTACTAAAAATACAAAAATATTAGCCAGGTGTGGTGGCAGGTGCCTGTAGTCCCAGCTGCTGGGGAGGCTGAGGCAGGAGAATGATGTGAACCTGGGAGGCGGAGCTTGCAGTGAGCCGAGATCGCATCACTGCACTCCAGGCTGGGTGACAGAGCAAGACTCCATCTCAGAAAAAATAAGTAAATAAATAAATAAAAATAAACAGATAAATAAATAAATGCATCTATAAGGAGTGCTACCTACTCTTGCACATATTATCCACTGGGTGACTGTTGAAATAATTCGTGGAGCTGAAATCCTTCAGTTCTCACAACTGGGGCTAGCTTTCCAAATACATTCGTGTATAGACTCTGGTCACAGTACTCTGCCTACACTTCATCAGCACCTACCCTGTCTGCTTTCAGCTGGATCATTGCATCCAGCCAGCTGTCATCACCAAGGATGTGTGCATGGTCTTCTATTCCCGAGATGCCAAGATCTCACCACCACGCTCTCTGCGTAGCCTCTTTGGCAGTGGCTACTCGAAGTCACCAGATTCGTAAGTTTTTCACACAAGTTAGCTTCCAGTTTGTTTGTTCAGTACAACAGAATCATTAGTCCTTAAGTATTCTTGGCTTACTGTCTCACGGTTAGTTTACAGTTTATGAACCATTTTGGTAACTGGCACCTGGAATGTACTGACTTGCATGCTGACATTTAATAAAATGTTGATGGATGGATGAGTTATGAGGGAAGGAAGGAATATTACATTGTGAACACCTCTAAAACAATTTTGCAAAGACTAAATTTGCAAAGACTTTTAAATGTCATCATTATTATTTCTAACAGAGTACCATTGAAATTTTCTTCTTTTGAAGATTTGTTATGCATATTTAAGGCATACAAAATATGTCAGGAATAATACAGTGAAGGCCAGACACAGTGGCTCATGTCTGTAATCCCAGCATGTTGGGAGGCCAAGGACAGAGAGCTTAGGAGTTTGAGACCAGCTTGGGCAACACAGTGAGACCCCATCTCCACAGCAAATTTTAAAATTACCCAGGTGTGGTGACACACGCCTATAGTCCCAGCTTCTCAGGAGGCTGAGTTGAGAGGATCAGTTGAGCTTGAGAGGTTGAGGCTGCCGTAAGCCATGATAGAGCCACTACACTCCAGCCTGGGTGAAACAGTAAGACCCTGTCTCAAAATTTAAAAAAAAAAGAAAAGAAAGAAAAAGAAAAGAAAAAGAGAAAAAATACATTGACTACTTGGGTATCACCACCCAGCTTAAAAAATGTTACTAATACGATAGAAGGTATTATACCTCCTACTACTCACAATCCCCAGAAGTTGTTGATTCTCATTTCATTCTAGTCATTGTTTCCTCATATCTTCTCTCTTATAGTAAGAAAAGACAAATTTTTAGTTTTCATATTTATATTGTAAATTTTCTAGTTTATCATTCAATTTTATTCACCCTATTGAAATAAAGTGTTTAAAAGATAGAGATGAGGTGGGGCATGGTGGCTTATGCCTATAATCTCAGCACTTTTTGATGCGTATAATCTCGGCACTTTTTGATGCATATAATCTCAGCACTTTTTGATGCCAAGGTGGAAGGATCACTTGAGGCCAGGAGTTCAAGACCAGCCTGGGCAACATAGTGAGACCCTGTCTCTACAAAAAAATTTAAAAATTAGCTGGGTATGGTGGTGCATGCCTGAAGTCCCAACCACTCAGGAGGCTGAGGCAGGAGGATCACATGAGTCCAGGAGTTTGAGGCTGCAGTGAGCTGTGACCACACTCCAGCCTGGGTGACACAGGGAAACCCTATCTCTAAAAAAATAAAATTGAGGCCAGGCGTGGTGGCTCAAGCCTGTAATCCCAGCACTTTGGGAGGCCGAGACGGGCGGATCACGAGGTCAGGAGATCGAGACCATCCTGGCTAACATGG